GGCAGCGCGGTCTAAAAGGCGCCTGCGCAGGTTTGAGACGCGCCTGCGCAGAGCTGGACTTCCCGCGCTTTTGAGGCAGCGGACTGGGTAGTCTCCGCGACCGTTGACTGAGGCGGCCATTGACTGAGGCGACGGAACCTGAGGGCAAAAGTTGCGTGTGGTGTTGGTACGAGAGCCAGGAAGGGAAAGATTGTGTTGTCGCTAGTCTCCAAACTTCCCCGTGCCCTGGGTGAGGAGAGAATGTTGGAAGAGAGCATGAGCCCTGATTGGACGCGCCCCCCTCCCCACGAGGGGACAAAGTAGGCCTCCTGGCCTCCCTGTGATGCAGTGGTCTTTGGGGGCGGTGTGTGTGTGTGTGTGTGTGTGTCTCTTGGCACACTTCAACTAATTACTAAAATTTTGTGACACACCAAAAATATATTTTTGGCTGATCTGACCAAAAAAAAGTGGGGAGGTGGTCCATAATTTTGACTCATTCACACCTTATTGTTGTGTTGGCTGTTGTCATTTTTTTATTTGACATTCTGAGGGAAAAGAGGTCAGTGGCCCTGACTAAATAGTCAGGTATTGCATTTTTAAAAAATTTCTGTGGCACAAAGGTTGAAAATCGTTACGTAAGGATATAATTTGATTTTTTTTCTGAAGGAGGAGAAAGATATTTACAACCTAATGTCAACTTTAAAAAAATCAGCTTGGTGTCTTCGCTCTTCATTTCAAGTCTATTATTTCTCATTCAGCTGGTTAGATATTTAATGGACATTTGGTGGAAAATTAATTGCCCCTACTTTATTTTTTGTGTATCTAATTTTTAACTTATCCATTGAATTAAATTATATTGAAAATCAGGTGTTACATTTACATGGTTCAAAAGGCAGAACTATGTAAAACTATATAGGCAGTTGCACACCCGCTCCTCTCTCCTAACCATCCCATCTCCTGCTCCTACCCCCATGATTATTAGTTTATTTTTATTCACTTAGGGCTACTTTTAGCCATTAAATTACATTTGAATATATATTGTTATTCCCCATGCAAAACTAGCATATCATAGCCGCCTTCTGCAACTTACTTTTTAATATCCTGGGGAGACGTCCATGTCCCTACACAGAGGGATGCCTCATTCCTTTTACAGCTTTATAATCGTCTACTGCACAGCTGTACATGAGTGTATGGCCAGCCCCTTATTTTGTGGGTAAAAACAAACTTTATTGAGATAATTTACATTCCATAAATTCCACCTATTTAAAATATACAATTCAAATTTTGTGTGTGTATATTCACAGGAGTTGTGCAACCATCACGATGGTCAATTTTAGAACATTGTCATCGCTCCCAAAAGAAACTCTGAACCATTAGTGGTGACTCCACCTTTCCCCCTAAACTCCCCAGCCCTAGACGACCACCAGTCTCCGTTCTGTATCTACAGATCCGCCTATTCTGAACATTCGATATAAATTGAATTATTCCATATGTGGTTTTTTGGTGGCTGGTTTTCATGCTCAGCATAATATTTTCAAGGTCCATCCATGTTTTAGTGTGTTTCTGTACTTAATTCTTTTTATTGCCAAAAATGTTCCATTGTATGGATAAGCCACATTATATTTAACCATTTATCAGTTTGACATTTGGGTTATTTCCACTTTTTGGCTATTGTAAGTAATGCTGCTATAAATATTCAAGTTCCCTCTATCACTTTTCTGTGTGGGAACTCACATGTCCTTATCTCATGCTGATTTCTTTCTTGCTTTATGCTTTTGTGTGGGGAAACTTATTTTTGAGTAACTTCTTGAGAAAGAAAAACTGGGAGGTTAATATTTTGACACCTTGAATACGAGAAAATGTCTTTATATTACCATTACATTTAATTGATAGTTTGGATGGGTGTAAAATTCTAAGTTGTTCCATTGTCTTCTAGCTTCCACTGTTCCTCCTGAGAACTCAGAGGTCCATTTTGATTATTTGTATGTACTAGCCCTATTCTATCCCATTCTAAAGGCTTATAGAATTTTACTGTTGTCTTCGTCAGTCTGAAATTTAAGGATGATGTACCTTGGTGTGTTGGATACTTGGTGGGATCCTTTCAACCTGAAAATTAATGTTGTCCAGTTCTAGAAACTTTCTTTGAATGTTTCATTGATGATTTTTCTTTCTTCCTCTTCTCTCTCTGAACCTCCTGTTTTTTCCCTCTCATATTGTTATCGTTTCTTATTTTCTAACTCTTTATTACTTTGCTCTACTTCCTAAGACATTATCCTAACTTAATCTTCAAAACTATGTTTTGCTTTATTTTTGTTCTCATAATTTGAATTTTCAAAAGTTCTTTTTTGTTACATTAAAATTAAGACAGGTAGCTTTGCTTTTTATCATACTCTTTCATGTTAGAGGAATGCATTAGATGTGTGACATACTTGATCACTCATGGTTGACAGAGTAGGGGACTAATTGGCAGCACTGAGCACATAGGAGTTGAAAACTCTCAGCTTCACTCTTGTGTAGAGTAATCTGATTGTAATTTCATTTGGGAACACTTGATGATAACATCTCTAAGTCTTTTCTTCTTGGGCTGCTCAGAATCTCCAGAGGTGACTCTCAAGTCTTTAGCCTAGAGGGGTAATGATTGATTGCTAGGACTGCTTGACAGGGTCTCTGGGTCCAAAGTATGTCCACTCACTTAATTACCCTCTTTCTAATATGTGCCTAGTGTCTCAAGACTCTGTTTTACCATATGCAGAGAAGAAAACTTTATCATCTGCCAAGCTTCACTGGAATGTGAAAGAATCTGGGGATCCAACTGCTTCATAACAGTTCCAGTTGTCTATAACTATAAAACAAATTACACCAAATGTGGTGGTATGAAACAACCAAAAGTCATTTATTATCATTGTCATGGTTCTGGGGGTTTATTGGGCTCTGGTCATCATTCTCATTGTCTTTCATGAGGCTGCAGTCAGATCAACAGCTGGGGGTCGAGTCTTCTCAAAGACTTCCTCAGGCCCCTTTGAGGTTGATGATGGGATGATGATGGAAGAGTCAAACTGCTGGGGACTGGAATAGCTGGGGCTCCATGGACCTTCCTCCTCCTTCTCTCTGATATTTCAACATGGTCTTTCGATATAGTGGCATAGTGCCGCTGGACTTCTTCCACGGTGACAAAAGTCTCCCAAGAGTGAGTGTCCCAAGAGAAACCAGCAGACACCGTGTGGTCCTTTTTAGCTTAATCTTGAAAGTCAGCATCATTTCCATTGTTCTATTCATTTCAACATTTGACTCATTGAAGTGTTCATAAAGGCCCACCCAGTTTTGAGGAGAAGGGATATGGATTCCATCTCTTGGTGGGAAACATGTCAAAAAATTTGCGGATTTGTTTTAAAATCACTTAGCCTCTTTCCACTTCCCACTATCCCACCCTGTCACATTGGAGGTGACTACTGCCATAAAATCCTGAGCCTTTTCCATAAAATTTTATTACTATTTTTTCTTTTGTTGTCCTTTTATTAGGCTTGAATCTTTTTAAAAAAATTCCTGTCATTTTGATGTGATTTCTGGAGAAAGAAAATTAGGCCAGCCCGGCCGGGTGTGGCTCAGCGGTTGAGCATCGACCTAGGATTCAGACAATCGGGGTTCAATTTCCGGTCAGGGCACATGCCTGGGTTGCGGGCTTAATCAATGACTCTCTCCTCATTGATGTTTCTATCCCTCTCTCCCTCTCCTTTCCTCTCTCTGAAATTAATAAAGATATCTTTTAAAAAGAAAGAAAGAAAGAAAGGAAAGAGAGAGAGAGAGAGAGAGAGAGAGAGAG